TGAGAAGGGAACCCCGCAGGACATCTGCTCTCGGTGGTCCAGGGCTCACTCGTGACTGATGACACACAACACACAACTCTATTGAGTAACTACACTCATTTAGAGCTCTGGCAGAGATGAAGGGGGGTGAGAGAGAACTCTTTTCCTTTGCATTTATCAATACTCATCTGAGCCAATGAGCATGGCAGGACAATTCTGAGTGGCAAAAGCATTTGATGGAAATGGAGCTGCCTTAGGTTTCACCCATGATTCTGGTTTGTTTACAAGTGGTGAAACCTCAGGAGAAGGGGGATAAAAGCTTTGGTTCAGTTGAAGTCCTGGTGGTAACCTCCAGTGCTAATAATTAACTCAATTATGCTGAATTAATTTGATATAATTATCGGTGATGAAGCAGAGACAGCGACCCAGAGAAACTTTGAGAGACAGGAAGAACAGTAGTCTTAACAATACAAAATACCCTATAAATAGCATCTTTTTTTCCCCCCAAACTGAGCCAAAGACACAAAATGAGTTATTACAGTCATCTGGCTTCACTCAACCCTCCAAATTACCCCTGTGCCCAGACAAATAGCTGTGAAATCCAGCAAGTGCACTAGAATTACAGCAGGCCCTGACGAATTTGACATAGCACTCAGCACAAGCGTCTGTCCCCATCCAATTACCTAAACAATGAAGATTTAATAATACATTTAAGAGAGCCACAATGCTTCTCCTTTAACTGAAGATGTTAATTAAGAACACTGTTCTGTTGTACTGTTGTCAGTTGGGTGGATTTTTTTTGAGGAACAATCTGGAGGATGCTGCTTATGGAGTCTTTTCATTTGATCTGCAGTTTTTATCTAGTATTTTCAGACTTATTCAGTTCAAAACAAACAAACCCCAACTATAAAAACCAAACATCTATCTTTTTCCTCCCCCATTTAATATTTCTGTGATTTGCTTTGAAAGAGTATTACAGAAATGCCTTCCTTGCTGTGAAAATACACACATTTTTACTGAGGGTTTTTTAATGCTTATGTGTTTAAAAAGAAAAGAAAATGTCAGTGGAAGCAAAAATCAGATGTGGCTAAGTCTTGGGAAGTGGGCTAAATGACAATGAAATCCAAGGAATTCTATGCAAATTAATGCTGCAAGCAGCACCAGGATGTCTCAGGCCGTGCCCTGCTGCCCCCCTGCAGGAAGCAGCCCTGGACAGCTGCAGGGTCAGACAAGGCCTTCAGCACCGGGGCCAGCAGGGCACAGCACCCGGGCCCAGCAGGGCACAGCACCGGGGGCCAGCAGGGCACAGCACCCGGGCCCAGCAGGGCACAGCACCGGGGGCCAGCAGGGCACAGCACCCGGGCCCAGCAGGGCACAGCACCGGGGGCCAGCAGGGCACAGCACCCGGGCCCAGCAGGGCACAGCACCGGGGGCCAGCAGGGCACAGCACCCGGGCCCAGCAGGGCACAGCACCGGGGGCCAGCAGGGCACAGCACCCGGGCCCAGCAGGGCACAGCACCGGGGGCCAGCAGGGCACAGCACCCGGGCCCAGCAGGGCACAGCACCGGGGGCCAGCAGGGCACAGCACCCGGGCCCAGCAGGGCACAGCACCGGGGGCCAGCAGGGCACAGCACCCGGGCCCAGCAGGGCACAGCACCCCAGCCCAGCAGGGCACAGCACTGGGGCCCAGCAGGGCACAGCACCCCAGCCGAAAAGGGCACAGCACCGGGGGCCAGCAGGGCACAGCACCCCAGCCCAGCAGGGCACAGCACCCGGGCAGGACAGAGCCCACGGCTGTCCCTGCCCTGTGCAGCTGCAAAGCCCCAGGTAAACTTCCCTTCCCTTGCCCTCTTCCCCTCCAGAGGCACTGTGTGCATGGAGTTAGCGCTACGGACCTGCCTCTTGTGAGGAATTTAACAACCATTCTGTTTAACGTTTCACAGTCCTGCAGGACCAGTGACACCCAGCCATGGAGACCGGCTGCCTTTGCTCTCTGGCTTCAGCCTGAAATGCTGCTTGACTCACCCCTGTCACCATGCTGTAAATACACAAGCTTCCGCATTTTTATTATCCTTGGTGACAAGAATAAAAATATTACCTCTATCATCACCAATTGCTTCTGAGGAGAGATTCCAAGTGCTTAGATGTAAGAAATGAATAATATTTTTCCAATTTGCTAAGTAGGTGCTGCTCACACACCCCCAGATCACTTCCTCCCTGAGTTCTGCTGGTTCTCAAACACAGCTGATCTTTCAGAACTCGATTTAATTGCCACCAGGCTCTGATCAGACTCATCAGTTCAAAGCAAGCTCCATTACATCCATAATTTATGCATTTGATTTCAACAGATCCTTTTGTGCCCAATACTGAGGGGGCAAAAAGCGTTTTCCATGAGGAAGATGCTAATGTTTTCTAAAGAACAAATTTTAAAAAATATTATTTCTGCAGAGACACTACATTTTCAAGTGGTGTGAGGGATTTTTCAAAGGCTCCGACACTTATCTGGACAGCCACTCAAATTCTGTCTATGCCTCTTTCCTACAGTCTTTCGTTTGGAGAGCTGAGCTACTGCTGCATGGGGAGACACCCTCGGGAAAGGGCAGGCACAGGCTGCAGGGAAGCACAGCTCCTCCTCCAGCCAGCACACAGGCTCGAGCTGTGGGCTTGCACAGCCCAAAGCACCCCGTGCCCAGCTGACACACGAGGGTGTGTGTGCAAGTGAGGAGCTCAGCATCCCTCCCTGCCAGCACCCTGCCTCCCCCAGAACTCCCTCTGCCCACCCCAGCCCGGCTCTGCCGTCACTGCCTTCATTTTCCCTTTCATGGACTTTTGCTTGAAAAAGCATCACTGCCTCGATTGTCTATTTTCAGCCTGTATTTAAGAAAACCCTTTGGTTCCATTTGTAGCCACATCCTGTCTCAGCCTCCCCCTCTTTTTGTTCCTAAATATAAGGCTGATGCAATTTGATGTGACATGACAAAATAGCACATTTGCATTGGCAGAAACTTTCTCTCAGCAGCAGTAATTAAAGGGAGTAGATGAGACATTGCTGAAATTGGTGTTTATTTAGCCTGGAAATAAAAGGCTTCAAGATGTCTTGAGAGGGATGTTCAAGTGTGTCACGACCATGAAACTCATCAATGAGTGCCACCTTCTACAGGCTTCTTTCTGACAAAGAAATGGTCACTCAAACAGTGTCATTGATTTAAAGAGAGTAAAAAAACAAATCAGAGTTCTGTACACTATACTCCTAACCTGTGAAAATTATTTCCTGTGTTTCTTGGGATTATAAATAGTACCAGGACACTTGTGGTTCCATGTAAGACAAGGCCAGTCAGTCTCTAACTTTAGAGCACAGGCTCTAAACATGAGAAGAAAACCAAGATCTCATTGACCACAGTGAGAATTAGGCACTTAAATATCTGAAGTTTTGATCTGAGATGCAACAGCAGAGGACAGGACTCACCTTCACTTACAACACAGACTTTTAATAATTGTCAAAGACAGAAATCCAGAAACAGCAGCCTGAGTCCTGTAAGGTCAACAGGATTCACACTACAGATTAAAATTAATCTACAAAACTCATGAAATAATTTAGTGTGCCTAGTTTTGCTGAACAGATGCATAGCAAATACCTGACAGGGTCAGGTAATGTCAGCTTTCTGTACTCTGCTCCATTATTGATGACAGCAGTAGAACACAGTAGTGGAAGAAGAGCAATATTTAGAAGTTGTGGGGGTTTTCTTGATATTTAGAAGGTAAATTTAGTTTACTTAATCCATATGAAGAATTCAGGGAAAGGTTTGGTAGCTGTTCCACAGGCCACAGGATTTAGCAGACATAATATGGCTTCAAGTGAAACTTCCTGCTCAGGAGCATCTTCCCTCTCCTTGTGCACACAAGGCTATTCTTTCAAACCCATCTGTGATCAGCTCAAAACCGGCAGCCCACGTTTCGAGCAGGCTCGTTTCCATCCTAACACAGATGGCACCAAGAACAGGGCAGGCCAGAAAAAAATCAGTTTGCATATTATGCTTCAGTTTTTATGGGTCAGATTACCATTCAAAGCCATCAAAATGGCAACCCATATGTGATGTGTCTGCCATCGGAACTGAAGTGATACACCACCAAAATCTTAACAGGGTTGGTTAGACAGCATTTGATTAACCATTGACTAAACTCTGATATTTAAAAGTAAAGACATTTTTCTTCCCAAGAATTTTTTTACTCTGACAGATCAATAAAATTGCTTTGGTGAGTCAATAAGGAAAAGACATTTTGCCGTCTTCATCCCTGAACAACTGCATCGGCGCGGCTCTCTTGGCAGAAGGGAGCTCAGCTTCTATGCCAAACATTCGCCTCCTCCGTGAGCCAGGTGCAGATGTTGGCTATGGCATCTGCTCCAACTTCTTTGTTCTACAAGCCAGAAAATTGTTCCCACAGCTTTGGGGAGAAAATGGGGATCTGAAGAGCTCTTTGCATGCTTTCATTGGTGTAAGAACATCAGATGTTTTAAAGACACCCTCGCAGAAATTAGAAATGTGTCATTCCCCCCACTTGTGACAATTAACCCACAGACAACCGTGTCCTATGGATGCCAAAGGGATGCTGCAACAAGGTCAAAGCCATGGCATTCTGTTCCCAGTCTCCTAGCCACCCTCTGCCTCCCTGCAGTGCCAGCTACAGCCCATTCCCTGCTCTAGGGAGCGCATTGTCCCAGATGCTCCAAAGACTCTGCTGCCACAGGCTCAGGTTCTAAAGTGGGCAGGCCTCTTCTGGGAGAAGTCTACTGAATAGTAAAAGGTATTGGAAACATCCCACTATGTTATCATGGCACCTGGAACTCAGCTGCCATGCTGACTGACAGCCAGGGCCACCACCCCGTGTCACTGCCAATGGGAACATTCTTCATCCACCAGTTTTTTCAGCCCTCTAGCTTCTCTACATGATATTTTGGTTGATGCTGATACGGGTGCATATTCTCAACCAGATACAAGACACACAACAAAAAATTCACTTACAGCATCCACAGTAGAGGAACTTTAATTATCTTCACAGATTAGGCCTGTCCAAGTCCAAAAGTAAGCCAGAGACCTGCAGAGAAGAATCAATTTTCATTATCTGTTTCTCCTCAACTCGCTACTTGAAGTGCCATTAATAAAGAAGTGCTGAGAAGCCCATCCACAGCTCAATTTATCCCTATGGGAGCTTTCATTTTCGTCTGACCAGTCACATCAGACATGAATGTATGGCTTTAACATGAACAGGTGGTTGCTTTCAGTCATCTGCTCTGAAAAGCTTTAAAAAATATACCCTACAAAAAGATTTAAGTAGAGAGAAATTCTGACTGAGGAGAACTGACCCTTCAGTTTTTTCTGATAAGAGTTGCTGGAGGTAAGAAAGCATTTACCTCCTTTAAAGAGCCACAGTTTCTCACACTCAGAACTCTGTACAATGACATAATAGTTACTTTACAGCATTCTCCATACAAATAACTGGTTTGGATCCAGGCAATAACAGACAGCACACAAGAAACTGCATCAAGCACCTGGGCCCAGAAAGCTTTCCAAACCTACTCCAAATACACCCAGCTGAGCTTTGGGAACACAATAAAACAGGATCAGTTGCTCTGTTTCATTGTTCAGTGACAAACAGTGCTTAAGGTCTAACTTGAATTTCCACTTAGTGTCTTAAAGGAAAGTTCATGTCAAACTTGAGGTTCCTTTGTGCTGCCAAAGTGTGTAAAGAGCACTGATGTAAATGTGAACTACACCCCTGACACGGTTACTAACTGGTATAAGTTAGTTAAAGCCAATAATCTCCAACTTGCTGCCCTATTTTTATCTACTAAAAGCCCAGTGCCTTCTTGTGATCCTCCAGTGCAAAGCTGACCTGCACTCAATCCCTTCTGTGCTTCAGATTGGTGACAAGATTTCTGCACGTTTGTATGCCACCTTCCAACAGCTGCAGCCTTGAACAATGGCTGCATGATACTGTTGATTTTATACAACCTTTAAAAACAGATAATAAAAATTCTAGTGTGCCCCTAAAACGTATTTCAGAAAAACAGGCTTACTTTCCATGCACAGACATATTTCCAAGCAAAACTTGGGAACCCATCTTCATTCACATCTATGATGCAGCAACAATATTGCTGTTCAATTTCTTACTTATCCCGTATCATACATGCTCGTCATATCCAAAAGGAATACAGAAATGCTACCTGTAAAGTCTTTACACTTGATTAAAGTGATTGGTAATAATTTACTGAAGGTAAGCAGGTATAAATCTGCTGTTTCTAGCACACTAAAACTTATTTATCCATTTGTGTTTATGGAAATTTGTTTCAGTGGGCACAGATCAAAGCCACACACACACACACATTATTTTTCAGAGGTCTGCTGCCAATGTTTGTTCATGGAGTGATGAATCCCATTTATTGCATTACATCCCTGTAATGTATGCCACAACTCTGCTTCCCACTGGAGTGAGAACAGGACCAGGAGCAGAATCAACTGCCCTGCTCACACCTTTCCTCCCCAGCACAAACTGGTCGGCTTCTACTGGGAGAAACATTTCCATAACAATCTGACCAGACTGCTCCCGCGTTTGTTTGCAGTGAAAGAGTTAATATCTGTGACCCAAATATGGAGACCCATTTTAAACTTGCTGAAAATTGCTTTTTAATCCTAGCTCTCGAGGATTTCCTTTGAAACCATCTGCCATGCACGCTGGGTACTCTTTCCCTGTATGTATGCAGGATTACTATAATATGGATTCTTTTGTGTAACTTAATACATTTCAGCATATTAAAAAATTAGTTGAAATTCCCATTCTTTTCTGATTTCAAGTGCCATAAAAATGACTGTAGAAGTCAAAACCATTGACAAGTTCATGGCAAAGCCAGCACCCATATTTATCTTATTTACTGCAGTATTTACCTCGCAATTCTAATATTTAGTCAGTCTGACACTGGCTGGGTTTAAGGAATAGTTATGAGTTATTAGTATAACTAATACACATGCTTCAAATCAAGTTGAAGAATTTTGCTGGATAGGAATGGATTTAATCATGTGCTTTACCATGCTTAAATTTCCCATGCTTACTTTCAAGTCTGGAAGACACAACATCATAATGATTAGAGATCAGAAAATGCTTCCTAATATTATTTCAGATCTATTGCCCAGCTTTTTCTATTTTCTTGCTATGAACCTTTATGCAATTGTATTTTCATAGTACATATACTGAAGAGAAAGAAAAACGTCACACTTGTAAATAAACTGAATTTTAAGACTGGCACATGCAACTATGTATATTTTAGCAAATATCCAAAACTTAACCTAGAGAAAGTATATTGCTTACTGTCACAATAATCACAGCCAGAGTGATTGAAAATAGCAAACATTCAGCAAGCTAGATTTAGAATCAATTTATTGAATCAGTCTATAAAGAAAAAAAAATCTAAATCCCAGCACAATTATCAAGCATCTTCAGAGTGAAATACTTTTTAAAAAATGTGATTTCCCTGCAAATATTCTGAGAAGAGAAAATAAAGACAATTATTTGCATAGGTTTAATCACATAATGTGACACTGATATTTCAGGAGCCAGACAGCTGACAGCCTGTGAACTTCTTTGTTCCACATAAACACATCTCAGAGCACCAAACCTGTGCCTGGGCTTCCTGCGCAGCCCTGGCTGCTCGCTCACACGATTCATTTCCCAGCCAGTCACCCAGGAGCTAATGCAAGAGAGCGGCAATGCAGAACCCCCCTCCAAACCAAAGGAGGATCCCATTGCCTTTGATGCCTTTTCCCTGGGAAGGAGCTGTGTTAGATGGGATAAAAAAATACACACAATAGATCTACAGATGCTGGAAGAATGTAGAGAGGAAAAAACAAGCAAATAATTTTGTTTCAGCAGTAACAGATGTTGAAGCATCATCCTTCATTTTAATACAATACTACTCATAAAGTGAAGGGGGGACAGAATCAATGCCCAATTACCCAGTTTTTTTAGGGTTTCCATTTTAATGAGCTTCCTGGATGATTCTGTCCTTTTAATTTTCCTCTTCTAATAATCCTATCAAGTTAGTTTTGTCTAAAACATCAGCAAAAAGAAAATCAGCTGTCTAACAAAATCCTAAAATTGCTGGTAGCAGGTTCTTAAAAATGACACGTTATACATCATTTACTTCTGTATAAATGCAGAGCAATTCCCAAGATCCTACAGCACTGCTGGGATTAGACTTGAGTGACTGAAAACAGCCTCATGTCCCGACACATCTGCTAATGGGAACGGATAGAAACAGACTAACAGTGCAATGGCATTTGCAGATAGATCAGTGCTGAAAAAACAACCGAATGCAGAACAAATAGATTAAAGCCACCTTTCTGTGGCTAAGGGAGGGATTAGGGGAAGCCTGGCCTGCATTCCAGCTGCAGACTAACCTGCTTTCCTGCCAGACCGCATCTGCCATCCTTTACCAGCAGGGCAGTGACTCCCACGTGCCACCTGGGCAGCCATGGGAGGGCTGGTGACACCGGGGGTGGCCACGGGGCACTCTGCAGCCAGACAGCACGCACAGCTCACAGCCCCGAGCTCACCAGGACAGCCCTGCACACCCTCTGCAGAGCAGCAGTGCCCGGCCTCGCAGGCAAGGACAGGGCAAGCACGAGCTCCAGAGATGGCACCCAGACCTCTAAACAAAAAAAAGTAAAGACAAACCCCCAACAGCCACAACTGTTTACACAGCAGCTTTTTACAACCCACTGGTCCCCCACTACCACAGGAATTAGTGATGCAGAACTAACTGATACAAATCTCCTGAGGGGAGAGTTGCTGCTGGTTATCTCAAGATGAGAAATTTAGTCCAGAAGGATAAATTGGACAGACAGCTGAAAAGCTTTAGTTCTCCTGGTAGGAAAGGAATTGATCTGATAAAGAAAGCCCTTAAAGAGATATTATTATGTCAAAAAAACAGAACTTTTTGCCTGGAGAGGAGGAAGAGGAAGTAGCCTGCTTCTCTCCCCTCTCCAAAACCCATCATTTAGGGATGCTGCTCACACAAGGACAAGTGCCTTGTGGTGATGCTTTCAATTCTGCACCTTCTAGGGAAGATAGCACACTGTGGAGTTATTTTAAGAACATCTCATTCACAAAGGTCTCCAATTCCGTCTTCAGAGACAGAGACGATTTTCTTGCTGCTTCAACATCTTTACTGGCTTGACATTTGCTTCAGAGGGAATTCATTTGCTGTTCCAACATCAGAATGGAGCAAGAGCAGCTGCCAGGAGAGGGATAAAAGGAAACACTGTCGACAAAGAGCAGCAGGGTCATTTCTGGTGCAAAGAAAAATAGAACAGAGAGAACCGCAGAACTGACACTTTCTCCAGAAAGCAGCAGGGGATAAAGATGTCCCCTCTGCCTCCTGCAACTGGTGTTTAGGAAGGGACTAAACAATCAGGCTTAAGTTCATAAATGACTAATTATTACAAACCAACTGTAAGCCCCTGAGCATTCCCACTTGAAGCCAAGTTCATGCTTAAATGCTGCAGTCAGGAAAGAACTCAGCAAGTCCTTCAGAAATCTCCCAAGAAAACACTTCAGGTTAGAAGCTCTGCCTGTTGGCCTGACTGACAGCCTCAGCACAGGTCACCTGCTCGGCTGGATTACTCGAATCTTTTCCCTCTATCTTATTAAAGTGTTGCCCTGAGCAGGGCAGGGATTTGTCCCTCATTCCACAACACAAGCAGACCCTGCCCTCCTCCTAGATGAAGGAATATTGCCATCCCTTCAAAAGCTAAGACAGAAACCTTTATACATAACTAAAACAAAATATTCCTTTCCCTGCTCCTCTCTGAATTTTGTTAATGGAGGAATTTATTCTTTTCCAGTTTCATGGAGAAAAGGTTTTAAAGACAAAAACTCTGGAAAATTATTCCTTGTAAGAAAAGGGCTAACACACTCGAACAGCAATTTTAATCCCTTGGTATTTCGTGTATATGCTTATTCTGTTGCACGTTAGGATCACGCTTTATTTGGAGCGTGGTATTTATCTGACTAACCAAACCTGCTCAGATTCACAGGCATGAGCACCATGTTTCTGACACCTTAAGGGCTCCAGCATCAGGATTTATGAATTAAATATTTCCAGGGTGTTGCAGAACACTGAGGACTGTATCTGCAGAGTGTTATATCAGGGTATGTGTGGGCTTGTCAAACACCCACATGATAAATTATCAATAGTGCAGCTCAGAGCACCCCTTTTGTGGATCAGAGACAAATCTGTGCATTTTATTATGCTTTGTTCCACTTAATGTTATTTTTTTCTGCATTAAAGGTTCACAAAACCCTACATGCCTAAATGCTGAAGGACATTCATACACAACACATGATCGAAAGCCTTATTCTAACATTTCAAGTCCTGTTTTCAAAGCTAGCTCATGTGGGACAAGAAAAAAATGCTGACAAGTTATGTCTGGAACTGGACAATTACATTTTATATTGTTCAAGATGATACAATCTTTTGTGTAGAATTTGAAGGTTTAAACCCTGCTGAGGAGCATTAAAGAAACAGGGCTAGCTGATTACAAAGTGTCTGCCATCCCTTGCGTGTATGCAGAGCACTGTCAAAGAGACTGTACCCCTGCAAACCAAGTGTCAAATCCGAGAGGAAAACAAATCTCTCAAGAGTCAGAAAAGACTAAACTTGAAGCTGTGGACTTTCAGAAATGAACAAGTGTGAGCCCTGTGTTTCTGATGCACAGAATTGACTGGTACATGCAGTAACAGACCTCTGCCAAGGAAACAAAGGGTCTTTACGTGAGCATTTTGCAAGTTTCATCTTTTCCTTACTACCCTTCTGTTTTTCCTTACACATGAATCAACCCCAGATCTTGTCCTCCTTCACTTTCACAGCACGAACAGCCTAAAAGCAGTTGAACTGAGAGCTCTGAAGTTTCACAGTGGGACAGAGGCCAGGGACACCAGTAGAGTGTTTAAGAACCCAGTGTGCAAGGCAGATACACTGGTTAGGGTGGGCCACCCAACGCTGGCACCTGACAGAACCCCATCTGGGCACCAAGATAAGTGAGTGCATCCCTCCCCAGGCTTCCCCGCACTGAGCAGGGCTGCTGCAGCTTCCAAGGGCAAACAGAACAGCGTGGCTGCAGCGCTCAGTGCACCTGAAATCAACAGAGTGGGTCCCAGATTTCATGAACACTTTACAGATGGAAGCTGGGGAGTGAGATTTGGAGTGGTCTGGTCAAGGACTGTCAGGAAACACGTGCCAGTGCCAGGACTGCAAACCCTGCACTTCTCCTGCTGCTGAGAATCCACTGACATGATAGCATCTAACAACACTTTCAGGGTACTTCTAAGGCAAGACACCTATTTACCCAGTAAAGTAGCTAAGTGAACAAGCAGCTAAGGTGACACTGTGTGCTTAGACTTGAATCATGGCACTGAGACACTGCTCTGCAAATACACCGAGAACCCAGCTTCCCATACACGTTGTTGGGCCACTGCTCCCTTGTACTACCCGAAAAGGTTTTGCAGAAGAGAAAAAGAAAAGTCCATAATGAAAATGTGTGGGAGAGTTTTAAAAGCCTTCTAGTCCTGCCAACACAGCCCTATGTCCTTCTGTACCAGCTCCCTTCCTTCTCCCCCACACACCTCCCCAGGGCCAAGGGGAGCAGAAACCAGGAGAACCCTTGGGGTGTGCTGTATTCAGACCCAGCTCGTTATCAGCTCCAACAGAAACCTCAACCAGACAGCTACAAACGCGAGTTCTGAGTAAGTATTCTGTCTCTTCTTCCAATAGGTAATATAAAATGGCTCTAAACCAAAATTTGCCTTTTTTTTTCTTTTTTTTTTTTTTTAAAGTGTGGTCTCTGTTTTTCAAATGGTGACATGACAGTAAAACTCTGATTAATTCCAGACTGGACTATTAGTAACCGTATTTCCAGGGATATACAGTGATATATATCCCTGTTGTTAAAGCAACAGGGACAGCTTTAACAAAGGAACCCATCTTCAGTCCTGCAAGATTTTCTTGATTACTTGCAAAGATTTTCTTGATTACATTCTCAAAGAGCGGGCAAAAATCACCCAAACCCCATTGTTATAAAGTATCCCCAAAGTACCAAACCCATTCCTGCACAGATTTTGCGCTGAGGTTCTGGGAATCACAGCAGGCTGTCCCATTCACGCTGTCTCGTCCTCCCCCTGCAGAGGAGCCCGATGCTGCCCAGTTTTCAGAGAGGAACAGAAAGGACGTTTGGCAGGAGTGCACCTGCAGGGATGTGCTGGGAGCACCTCAGCCTGCAGCTGTCCTGCCACGGCTCTGCTGGGCCCCACACCGGAGCCAGGGCCAGCGAGGAGCAGCCCCTGCCAGCCCCGCACTGCTCCTTCAGTACCTGAAGGAACCTCCTCATCACCCTCAGGTAATTTAACTCTGCCACCGTGGGAAAGGCTCCAGCAACCTGGGAGTTTTCCTGAGGTAAAACTATTAATCAGATATGATTAATACTCACACGAGAAAAGGAAAGGTGTTAGAACTGTTGAGTTTTAGCCCACCCCTGTGTCTGAGGGAACACTGATGCCTTACCCAAAGGCACTGCAGTCCCAAGCGTGCAGACTCATAGCGTGAGGGAACCAAAGCGAGCACCAAAGAATGTTTGGGTGCTGGTTAACACGTACCTCGCGGCGAGCCCCTGAGCACGCTGCAGGGAGCCTCGCAGGGACTGCCTGGGGCGGCGGTGCTGCTGGGAGCACCCACAGCCTCTCACTAGCGCTTTATGTCCCTCTCCTGCCAAGGGCAGCTCACGCGCGGCGTGACACGCTGCTGCCACAGCCCGCTGCCAGCCCCGCACTGCCGCTCTCGGCTCCTCAGAGACTGGAAAAACAGGCCCCGAACCCCACAGAGCCGCACGCCCTCCGCGGGCAGCGCCGTGAGGGGCTGAGGGACCCGAGGGCACCGCGGCCCGGGCGGGAGCGGAGCGGGCACAGGGACACACCGGGAGCGGGCAGCGGGAGGGCACAGGGGCACACCGGGAGCGGGCAGCGGGCCCCGGGAGGGCACAGGGGCACACCGGGAGCCGGCCCTGCCCGCCCTCACGGCACTAGCGCGCGCTGCCCGCCGCCCCCTCAGCGCCCTCAGCGCCCACAGCGACCCCGCGCGCGCCGCGTCCTCACCTCACCCCGCCCCGGCGCGCTATTGGCCCCGTCCGCCGCCCGTCAGCGGAGCTCCTCCGCCCATTGGCCGTTTGCCGCCGGTGGGCGGGCGGAACGGCCGCTTCCTCATCCGTCACGCGGCGCCGCGCTCCGTGATTTGCGGGGCGGCGGCTCCTTCCCCGCCCACCGGCGTCGACCACTGGTGAGGAGAGCTGTCGGTCACGCCGCCGCCCCGCCTCCCGGTGCCATTGGCCCAGTAACCTCTTTTCGGGCTTTCGTTTCTCTTCATTGGCTAATTGGATTAGATGGGCGGCTGCGATTGGGCGAAAAGCGGGCCCCGGGGGCGGGACTTGGCTCAGGAGCAGCGCCCATTGGCCGGCGGCGCGCGGTGAGTGGCAGGGAGGTGAGGGAGGCGGGGCCGCCCGGGGTGAGGGTTGTGTGAGGTGAGGGAATCTCGCGGGGTCTCGGCGGCTCCGGGCGCGGCGGCGCGCGCTGATTGGCCGGCGGGGGTCACGGGGGCGGGGCCGCGCCGCGGTGGAGCCCTTCCCTTCCTCTTTCTGTGTTTATCCTCCCTCAGCCCCCTCGCCCCCCTCTCCTCGCCCTGCGCCCCCCCTTCACTTTCTCTGCGTCCTTGTGTGTGTTTCAGGCCTTCAAGGAAAAGTTGCAAAGTCCCGAGTTGTTGCTGCTGTGAGGGAGCAGGTGCCTGGAAGGAGGGAGCAGGTGTCTGGAAGGAGGGAGCGATGTAGGAGGTGCCCGGGCTCAGGGAGGTTCGGGGGACACATGGAGAGGGTGTGGGAATGGCAGGGCTAGGCTGGCCGGCCCTCGCGGCGTGTTCAGGGCAGAGGCTCCGAGCCCTCCCTCCGGAGGGAAGGGGGATTGATCACGGTGTTTAATTTTTATAACAAGAAAAGCGACAAAAATAACCAAAAGTGAAGGAAAAAACCCACCCCAGCCCCACCCCAGCTGCCCAAGGATGGAGTTGGAGTAGCCAAGCCCGGCTGGATGCTGGGGAAGGGGTTGGCGCCCGCACACATGAAGAGACTCCCCGAGTTGTTTGGCTTCGCGAGGAGATAAGGCCAGTGGAGCTCCATGTTTTTAAAGGTGGGCCGTGTATGATGAAACCCAACTTCTTTTAAAGTGTAGCAGATTTAATTTTTATGGCCAAATGACAGCTTGACCCAGTTGTTATCCAATCAAAGGGCATTTTTTTTGAATGTCTCTTTGTGGCACAACAGCCAACGCAAAAATGATGGCGGCTTACAATGGCGGTACGTCTGCGGCAGCAGCAGGTCACCACCACCACCATCACCACCACCTTCCTCACCTCCCTCCTCCTCACCTCCATCACCACCACCATGCTCAGCACCACCTGCACGCCGGCTCGGCGGCCGCGGTGCACCCCGTGCAGCAGCATGCCTCCTCGGCCGCCGCGGCCGCCGCAGCCGCGGCCGCCGCCGCCGCGATGTTGAACCCCGGGCAGCAGCAGCCGTACTTCCCATCCCCGGCCCCGGGCCAGGCCCCCGGACCGGCTGCAGCAGCCCCAGCTCAGGTACAGGCTGCAGCAGCTGCTGCGGTCAAAGCGCACCATCATCAGCACTCACAACATCCACAGCAGCAACTGGACATTGAGCCGGACAGACCCATCGGATACGGAGCCTTTGGTGTTGTCTGGTGAGTAGAGACAAGAGTGAACCGATGCCTCCTTGTCATTCTTTACCTGGTCATAACCCATCCTTGTTTTTGTCATTTGAATCAGAATACCAGAGAGTTTTTTTGCTGGTTCTTCTCCGTTCTTAGAAAGTTGCTTCGCTTGTTTGCGTTGGCAGAACGAGGTTCCCAGTGGTGAGGAGCCACCTCTGACTAACAGCCCACCCTGCCGTTCTCTTCTGAGACAATGCAGCTTGTTTGTGCCCTTTCTGTGCCTTTAATTAGAGCGTGCAGCTAAGCCGTGCTTCCTAAAATTTCAGGTTAACAAATGAGCATTAGAATATTCATTTTGACCCGGCTTAAGAGTCAGAAATGAAAAGCGTATGAAAATGTCTTCCTTGTGCAGTCACCTGTCAAGATCTTTGTCTCGCGGCGGTTTGACCTGCGGTAGTGCTGTGTGCTACCTAAAACAGCACAGCTGAACTTTGCTCCCCTCTCAAAAATGGAAATGGGATTTCCTGCCTCGCTGTAGCTCTGCCTCCGGCCCTTTTATCCCCCAGCTGCGTTTCAGAGGAGTCTGTCAGCGGAGTGGAATCTCTCCTAATGCATTTTGTGACTACCTTAGAGCCATGTATGTAATTAGTGCCCTTCAGGAGCACCGACACAAAGCTGGCAGCAGTGTATATATATATATATATATATATATATATATATTTGTATGTAAATGTTTGTCAGCGTGCCCTGCTCTGGGAAGCATGAAGGCTGGCAGGGGGTTGTTCTGGAGAGCAGGCGTGTTGCAGTGCACTTCCTGCAGCACGAATGCAAAGTTTGCAGCGTGCAGCTGTGCGCGGTGTCCCAGCCCCCTGCAGCGCTCCCAGCCCAGCCTCTGGGGTGCCCCAGGAGTTTTGCTTTAGGCACTGGCCAGCTGCAGCTTCAGTGAGAGGAGTGGCCGGGTCACCAGCGCACGGAGGCAGAGGGCTCAGCAGGGCAGGCCTCAGGAGAGCAAAACCCCTTCTGCCTGCAGCCCAGCCTGGCAGGTTGGCCACGCGTCACCAGCCCGCTGCTGGTAGCAAAATGGTGCTTCCTGAGAGGCCAAGGGAGCTGCAGCAGCGAGGTGCAGGTCAGTGCTGTGCTTGCTCTCGAGTGCCTGCCCCCAGAGCTGGGCAGTTAATTTAAACGCAGAGTTCTCCCAGTCGGAGGGGAGCTGTTGTGCAGTCAGCACTGCCGTGCTCTGGCTGTGGTACAGCACTCAAAAGTGGGTGTAAAAGAATGAAAACTGACAAGGAATCTGCTGTAAAAAATTATCTGAAGGTATTTCCATCAGTTTCTATATTTTTTAAAGTATGGCATTTTATAACTTAATTTGTTAGAGTCTTTGCTTAAATTTATGTCGTTATGTAAGATCAGCCCTTTTTACCGGTGTTTTGTTTGCCTGTGCATTTCCCAGGTCTTCATTTTCCCAGTTCTGCTCGCCAAAAAGCAGGGTGCAGAGAGAGATCTGCTTCCACAATGTTCAGTAGAATGAAAGGTCACGCTTGCATATTTAAATATAATATCATTAAGAGTGCTGGGGGCAGAAGGGAGGTGTAGAGGAAGGCTCTGACTGCCATCAGGTAGGAAAGACAGTGCCAGAAGCATCCTGCCATCCCGAGCCCTGGGTGCACACCTGCAGCCAGAGCTGCCCCGGGGGACTGTGCCTGCAGAGCTGCAGCTACAGCTTGGCTTGGAGGTAACAGCAGCTTGGGAAAGAGAAAACAACAGAGGGGGAGGGGGTTAGCTAAAAGCAGAAGCTGGGAGCTGGGATCCCTCCGGCAGAGCCGGGGTGCACTGGCCGAGGGTGTCATTGGTGGGAGTGAGTTCCTCTTTGCTCACGTGTGTTTGATTTCAGTGGGCACTGCTCAGCTTTCGGCATTTCATGTTAACTTCTGCTGGTGACTGCAGGCTCAATTTAGGAGCCTGTAAGCAGTAAATAAACTGAATTTTAGTTTCATTCAAAATGTGCAAGAATGCCCACGTAATTGAATTTTAGCTATGTGAGATAAAGTAAACTCTGACCTGAGTATTTATAGTTTGAGGTGACTTGGGCACGAGCAACATGCACTTGGGTTCAGGCATGACACGGGATTCACAAAGCCTGAGTGACTTTGGAAGGAGGATTCATTGTTTCTCAGTATCTTGTCTGGGCATTATTTGTGCTGATAGGTAACTGAAAAGTTTTTATCAGTGCTTCTGAGGGAAATGGATGTTATTCCATCGACAGTTGGGGTATTTGCACAAGACTTTCATCTGCTCTGATGTGTCACTGCTTTGTTTGGGGGGTACAGCTGACCTGCAGCTCAGTTCAGCTCACCAGACGAGCGTGTGGAGTTGCACTTCCCGTTAGCTCACCCAGAGAGATTTTCTCTTGGCAGTTGAATTAGCATTTGTCATTAGTTCATTTGTCTGCTACTCGGTGATGTTTCGGGGTAGCTAATGTGCTGCTGGAGTTTTTCACTCGTGAAGAGCCAGAGCCTGGTGCTTCAGCACTTTGGTTATTAACCCCTGCGGGTGCAGCTGCCCTGGTGTCTGTGCACACAGCCACGTCCTCGCTCAGCTGGGCACCACTGCGGGGAAATCAGCTGTCCCTGGCACAGCATCTGCTCTGCCTGCTGCCCTGGCACGGGGAAGGTGTGCTGAGCAGGGGCAGGTGTGCAGGGACTTTCCCCAGGTCCTGCAGGTTTGTTTCCCCACACTCTGGCTTGGTGAATTGCTGCAAACCCAGTCATGTTCCTCATTTGCCAAAACCAGAGCGATTTGCTCTTGGAGTGTTCCCTGCTCTCATGTTCCTGAAGTGCTGAAAAAATCCAGATTTTAGTGTCAACGACAAGCTCTGTCTGTGCCCTGTGGTTCAGACTGAGTAGGACTGAGTTTTGGAAGTCTTGTGTCTGTTCCAAGAATGAGGAGCTGTCCTTTGGAGGAGTGCTCCCAGTTTTGCTGGGGAGACATGCTGCTGCCATCTGGTGGGATTCCTAAAAAAATAATAATAATGATAATTAAAAAAATGTATCAATTGAACCTGCCAAGGCTGGTAGGTTTGAAAGGAGGGGTGAAGCCTCAGTCCCTGTGCAAGAGGTGCTGGTGCTGTTTCCATGCAGGGTTCCTGAGCCACTGAAGAGGCTCTGCAGGAGGGACATAGGGAATAATGACTCTTGCTGCTGGTTCAAGGTGGTACACTGCTGCTGAAATGTGGAAATGTCCTGTTGGCTGGGGTATATCTACTCCAGTGGGATAGGAGTGTAAGGTGTGCGGGAATTCCACTTGTCTTCCTTGTGTCTCTTAATTTTGAAAAGTTACTGTCG